TTGCTGGTTCATGCAAACCAGATATTCCAAGTGGCCTGCCAGAAAGCACACAAATGACAGGCCATCTTTGAGGTTTAGAAATCATCTGTATGTGGACTCCTTCACATACACACCTTTGCCTTCTTTTAACTCAACAAACTGAAAAAAAAAACAATTTCAACATTTATAATACTGGACCTCTAAGAAAGTGTAAATAAGAATGAATTCGTGAAAAGATATTTTAAATCACTTTTTTATTCTTCATTTGTTTGATTCATGTACTGGTAGATGTTCTATCTTACATCCATTCTACTCAGTACCATGAATACTGGACCCGTATGAAGTCATTTGAACAATTAAAGTGGCAGCCATTATAAATTGATAAATAGCTACAAACCAGATGATTTTTTTTTTTTTTTTAACATATTATTTATTTCATTCATAAACAAAAAATACACAAAATATCTACTACCAATCGCCATAGGCATTCTAGGTAGTTTAAATTACAATAGAGGATTAATTACAGTAATCATAGATGGTTTATTGGTAATGTGAGAGGTTGGGAGGGGGGGGGGGGGGGTTGTCACAAGATACAAATGAGAAAAACATTAATTTGATGGAAACTTATAACAGGCCTGTACAAATTGCATCACTATATCTATCAGGATTTTCTGAGAATCAATAGTGAGTTCATTTTCATAAATTAAGTATTTGACCTGTTCTGTCTTACTAGAAATAAGTTGAGTATCAAACAATAAATTTTGTTCACGAAGTGCAGTCATCATTTTATTACGTTCATGGGTATGGCGAGGGCAGGTTAGAATGAAATGCTTTGTGTCTTCAGTAGAGCCACAGAGGCATTTGTTGTCAATTATTCCAGTAAAATTATGAGTAAAGAAATGGTCTTTAAGGGCAAAATCAACTCGAAGCCTATTTAGCAGTTTTTCGTTGGTTCTACTTAAATTTAGTTTTGTAGTTGGTATGAAGTTTGAAATAGGGATAAATATCTGTTTAATAGAGCTTTTGAATCTAGAAATGGTTTGAATTTCACGAAAAGTCTGGCTTAGTTGGTTCCAATCATTTATAAGTTTTAAAACTGGTGCTTTGGAGAGTCTCATTGAAATATTTCTTGGGCAGGAAAAGGGTAAAGAGTGTCTTAAAATTCTAGTTGCTTGGTTGCGATGTTGGTCAAAAAGACTATGGACATAATAAGGCACTTCCTTTCTTACAATTTTGAACATCAGTCTTAGATTTTTTTCGTGTCTTTTGTCAGTAAGCGATTTCCACTGTAAACATTTTAAAGTTTTTGAGGTGTTAGAGCCATGCAGTACCCCAGCACATATAACAGCAGCTTGGTAGTGGATTTTATCAAGCTTTGACAAGGCCGCCAAGGATGACGATCCGTAAATGGAGCTACAATAGTCAAAATGAGACGCCAAATATGAATTATACATTATTTCAAGATGGTGCGATTGTATTTTGTTTGATATGAGCTTCAAAGGATTTAACAGTTTTTGAACTTTATTAGACAGATAGTTTATATGGTCATTAAAAGTCAAATTCTCATCTAAGATGAAACCCAGGTGCTTGTGTGATTGCTTTTGGGGGATCATTTCACCATCAAAGTAAAGCGGAGACATTTGAATATTTTTTAGTCGGGTTGAGCGAAAAACTAAATGAGCACTTTTAGAAGCTTTAAATTTCAATTGCCAGGTTCTAGACCATGCACTTAAAAGATTTAGGTCATTTTGGAGTTGGCCAGTTTGATTACCAGAAGGGTGAAAGAAAGAGTATAAGGAGGTATCATCTGCATAGATAAAAGTTTTCGAGGTCAGAGTGTCAGGGAGGTCATTTATGTATATCAGAAACATCAGGGGTCCGATTATGGAGCCCTGAGGCACACCGGAGTTTATGAAGTGGTCAGGAGAGAAGTTTGATGTGTGATCATCTACAGTGACACAGACTTTTCGATTTTCTAAGTAAGAAGAGCAGAGGTCGGCTAATTTACCTTGAATTCCATATGATTTCATCTTGTGAATGAGTAAGTTATGCGGTACAGTATCAAAAGCAGACGCCACGTCTAAATAAACAGAATTAACACAGTTACCTTTTTCCATTTCGTTAAAGATATAATCAGTTATTGCTAAAAGTTGTAGCTCAGTGTTGTGTCCTGGAAGAAATCCAGATTGAAATTGATAAAGAAGGTTATTTTCAAGTAGATGCGTTAAAATGCGATTATGCACAACTTTTTCAAAAATTTTGGAAAAAGTGCTTAGCAAAGTAATCGGTCTATAATTCTCAACTTGAGATCTATCAGACTTCTTATAAATTGGAGAAATGTTTCCAAGTTTCCAGCAACTAGGAAATTGGCCACATGCAAAAATCATGTTAAACAATTTTGATAACTGGAAGGATAATGCTTCCTGGGCTATTTTTGTCATTCTGTTATTAATTTTGTCAAGACCACAGGCTTTATCGCGATCAAAGGACTGGATTATTTGAAGAATTTCATCTGGATTGGTAGATAAATGGTCAATTGATATTCCAGATCTATTTGGAAAATGTGGAAGTGCATCGTTATCCACTTGGTTTAAATTATGATATTTTGAAGAAAAAAAGTTAAGGAAACACTCAGCTTTTTCACCCTCAGTTGTAGCTATGTGATCTGAAAAATTGCACTTCAAACTAGGGAGTAAAGCATGAAAGGTTCTGGATAGAAAAGAATTAACTATGTTCCAGTATTGTTTTCCTTTACAGGTTGATTCATTAATCTGTTTTACAATATTTTCCTGGTAATTTAATTTTGCCTCTTTTATTAAGGATTTGACCTTTTCAGCTTGAGCAGTGTAGTTGTCAAAAATAGTTGTGTCATTTTTTGATTTGGTTTTCCGATAAAGTCGTTCTTTCTTATTGATTTCGCGTTTAATTTTTGAGTTCATCCAAGGTTGATCATTTGCATTTAAAATTGTTGTTTTTTGAGGAATGTATTTTGAAAATATGTCAAAAATATGACAAGAAAAGCTTCCAGTTGTAACATTAATGATTATATAGTTCAGTCAGGTCAAAATTACGAATGTTGGAATTTATACCCTCAATATCAGCCTGGTCATATTTCCAAATGGTTTTCTTTAATTTGTGTCTCTTACTGAGTTTTAACGGAAGAGTGGTCAAAATAGTAGAGTGGTCGGTATTACCAATAGGGTCAGAAACAACCAATTCCCTTACGAGAAAAGGCTTGTTAGAAAGGTCAATGCAGGTTCTTGAGTTTCTTGTTATTCTGGTAGGCTCTTTTACTAACTGGATAAGATTTAAGTTTGATAAAATAGAGTCAAGTTTATTGCCTCTCGAGTCAGTAGTACCTTCAGGCCACCATTTTTGATGTTTGGAATTGAAATCACCATTTATAATTAGGTGGTCACATTTTATCTTGGATGCTTTGGAGAGATTTTCCCTTAGATGGTCAAAATAAGCATTTTCCTCATTTACATTCATACTAGGAGAGCGATAGTGTACACCAAATAGTATTGAAGTATTTCTAATTTTGATATTAACCCAAAGACTGGTTATCAGTATTCAAATCCGGCATGGGAATGTAGGTAAGGTCAGATTTAATGTATATCATGAGCCCTCTACCCCCTTGATGATAAAGGGGAGAGTGAAAGTCAGGAAGTAAGTAGTTTTCAGAAATAATCTTGTCATTCAAATTGCCTACTTCACAGAGTCCAGCTACCGATACCCCATGTTTTCTTAATCTATGTTTAAAACTTTCAAACCTGATACCTTCCCCACTGCTTATGCTGTTAATGTTTGAGAAAAGAAACTTGAGATCATGCTGCATGGTACATGTAGAGTGAGGACCAGGATGAGTTTCAATGTCGCCGGCCTGCAAGATTAAATCACTTTGGTCAAAAATGTAGACTGAAGTTTGAAAAATCAAAACAGTGAGTGTGAAATTGTCAAAAATATTTGCATATTTTACATTGCCTATAAGCTTCATAAGCATTTGCATTGACATAAATAATGTAACAAACATGACTGTTAACAAGTAGATTATGACCACAATAGCCATGAGCCTAGTAAATTCATTAAAAAGTTTATTGTAATTATTTGTCAAATCAATGCAGGAAATTATATCTAAGGTGAGTAGAATAAGGTATATAAGCATTAAGACTGTTACAAAACTTGGACTTGACATTTGCCTCTTAGTACCATTGTTTTTGATTTTCAAACCTGGTATTTTGATTCTCGAGTTAAAAATTCCAATTCTGCTTCGCCACGACTGAATGTCGACTGCACCCATTAACCTATGCCTGACTTGACTGCACTGTTGGTTAACTGAAAGGTATATATGCTAGTAACAAATGGTAAAAAGCTAAGTAAGCAGTATTTAGAAATGTAAAAGTAATCCCCATCCCCAACCCAACCTCTATGATTGATAATTTCCAAAAGTATGCACACATGTAGTGTGTGCATGACAATAAGGAATATGGTTACATTACACATGGTGTTATGCAACAAAGGTTTTTTGATGCAAAGATATAGGAAGTACAGCTCAGTTATGGAATCATAATTTCAGTAGCAAAGTACCAATTTCAGGATAAAAAGTAGCCTGGTAGCCAGCAAAATGGACTACATGACACATGAAATACAGTGGGCAGCAATATTAAAACAAAAACAAAAACAGTAATACATGGGAACAATACAAAACTTGCTTGTGATTCATCATAATCATAGTGTATGCTTGCAAGCTACTGTAACATTTATACATTACAGTATATAGACTCTAATAGAGTAATACATACTGGAGAAAAATAAATCATAAATAGTAAAATGTTAGTCAGGCTTGTATATAAAATTCGAAAAACGAACTTCTCCAGTAGTTCTATTTACAAAGGTGTTCGTTGAGAACAGCATTATATACAGAAGGAAAAAGAACTCACCGTGTTTTTAGATTCAAAAGACAAAAAACGTGAAATATAAATTTGATAAAAGCACACTTCCGGTTTCTGGAAGGTCAAATAGTCACGTGACAGAGAGATGTAAACAAAACAACTGGAGAAAATCGTCAAGTTTAGCACGAGCAGCAGCTCATTAAGACGTTCATTTGTCAGTGAGAAAAGTTATGTTCGGTTATTTTAGGAAACTATATTGATAGTTTATACATTGATGTTACTTTCTGCATGGTGACCAGCGTTTTCTATAACTTAAATCAACAAGGGTAACAGTGGTGAGTGAGGGAATGTTCACGAGAAAGTTATGGCAATCGTCCAAGCACACCAAGGTAATTAAGACCTGGCAATGACAGAGTCAATGTTATCGTTGATTGAGAATACTTTGATTGTACCAGATTTGAGTTTACCATACACTTTCATGTTATTGTACCATGCTTGATCAATATCGTTGTGCTGCTTGACTTCTTTCAGTAGTACTCTGTTTCTCGGACTGAGATCATGGTAGATTCTCACATTGGTGCCTTTTAGGTGGCGCTTGTTTGACATTACTTTGTCCTTAACAAGTCGGTCAAAGAATTTGGCTATGATTTGTCGTGGCTTCCCATCTCTTCCAGGCAAACGGTGGGCAATTTCAATGTGGTCAGGTTCAATCATAGCTCCTGCTGGCAGGTGATCATTTAGGGTTTTACAGAGAGTGTCAATACACTTTTCAACAGACTCATTTTTGTCATCAGCGATCCCAACGGCACGTAATGTGGATTTCCTGCTGTATTGAGCATTATGATTTACCTCAAGGGCTAGCTGATCTTGCTTAACAGTCATATCAGTATGGGATTTCTCCAATATCATGATTCTGGACTTCAGAGTGTCATTTTCTTCACGAAGTTGTTTTAGATCAGTAGATAGCTTTATCGTGGATTTTTCAATTTCATGCTTCACCATATCACGCATTTGAGACATTATCTGGGTGTTATTTTCATTAAGTAATGTTCTCATAACGGTAGTAAGAGAGAGGATAGTTACCGGTTGCTCAGAATCCATATCATGTGGATCGTCTGTGGTGCATGTACCTGAGGATGCTTCATCAAGAGCTTTCTCAAAAACGTCATTGTACGGTACTGGCGAAGTTTCACTGTCCTTACTTGGGAACCCCGCTTCTCGTCTATTTCGCTTCACGGGTATAGTTATCGAGGATGGCTTATCAAAGTCCTGTGCAAGTTGTCCACCATCTTGGTTTTTATCAGCACGAATTTTGACGAAGTCGGTAATCGCCGGTTGGTTGTCCTGTAGTTTGGACATGGTCTCAACTAATCCGCTGTATATCGTCTATAGATATTTATAAATGTTTTAGATTACGATAAATCGGCACAAATGTAGATATTATCATGTAAACTGAGTAATTACTCCTAGTCTTTTACAACGTGTTATTTGTTCTTGGCGCCATCTATTCGAATCAAACCAGATGATGATCTGGCATGATTTAAACATTCTACTTTTTGCAACCTTTCACACCAATTTGGGCCGTATTTGAGCAAAGTTGCTTCAAGTTGGGTGTATTTAACTAGTTATTATTATTATATGTAGGAATCCAAATCTTTTCCATAATAATTTATTATCCACTAGGAAGAGTTGTACTATATAACTAGTAATTTAAATAGCTATTTAACTAGCTATTTAACTAATTATATATACAAACCATTTCTATGATCATTAATTATTCACTAGGAAGAAGTGTACTGTATAACTAGTTAAATAGTGCCCCTCCTCCATAAATCAATTGTGAAATTAACACTTAGGAGAGCTATTCAACTAGCTATATAAGACACTTATTAGACCAAATTTTTAAATTTCTTTTAAATTTTTCATTTTCAAAAAAAAATATTTTCAAAAGACATTCTGGGAAATATTTTTTTTCGGATTTTTTTGGGTTTTTAAAATTTCTCGTTATTATGTTTTGGGGGTATTTTTCATTTTTTTCTAAGGGGTCTTCAGGGTGCTATTTAAACTGTGTGCCCATTGTATTTGTTTCCCAACTGCGTAAAGTTGCTGGTCCATTGTTTGGATTGAAAAGTTGTGTCCATACAATTTGGCTCTCTCTCTTGCTCCACACATAGCAGTGTACACTGTTGCCATGTCACTTGGCTTGGCATCAATATTTGGCACATAATTGCATGCGGTAAAATCAGAATGAGACTCTGGTAGGTCAAAATTGTACCCGGTCCAAAAAGGAATGGACTGTTTCTTCCTCCCTTGATTTACCTCTCAACATAAGCCAGGTGAGGTCTGTCACATGTATACTAGGTTTATCAATGTCTTTGTCCTTGTGTATTTGGAGTAATGCACATGCAGTGAGTCTTCTCGCCCATTGTAGAACGTATGTATGTTTTTTAATCTCTTCATGGCGCCAAAACTCCTTTCTGCTATACATGTCATGACTCCCCAAAGTACCCATAATTAAGGGTTTTCCTCCTTTGAAATGTTGATTCAAGAGGAGGATAAATTGATCCTAATTTCAGTGTTGTGAGAATTTGAAATTTGTTTACTGTATGAATGAGGAAATGGTCTTCACACTCCTTACATGTTGGGTGACAGCAAGACTTCTTTGATGGAAACAATTTGGTAGATTTGGGTCGCATATCTTGAGATGTATGTAATTAGAACACATAGGGTGATTTGTGATTTTAGTTATTTTTACTGTTATGTATATGTTATGTTTAGAATTAACATGGCTAGGTGACAGTCATTTTTTTTAAAAACTATTGCCCTGTTTTAAGAAAGAAATTCGATTCCATCTTTGGCAATATTAACAGTGCCATGCCTCAGTTCCCCATAATTACTAAGTGAGACTCCCAAATCTTGACATGTGGGTCCAGCATAATATGATGATGTCATGCCATGTTCAACTGAACCTGTATCAAAAACATCTATTGCATTCTCCAAAACTATAACCTCCTACTCTACATCATAATAATAATTGGAAATGTCTTATACAGGACTATGGATAAATATTAAGTTGTTTCTTACCTAATATAAACAGTAAAGAGGTTCGGGTTCAATAATGGCCTTGCCCTACAAATGGAAAACATGCATATTTAATTTAAGTTGAATTCTTGACACATTGGTGACTTCTCAACACCTGCTTACCTTTTTATCTGAATCTAGAACCTTGCCAGTTTGTTCCCCTATTATGGCAATTTGAAGTTTCAAATCAAAAACACTTTTTTAATTGTCAACACAAAACAGTAGATGTTGATTGAAGGATGCTCAAAAACTAGAACCTCTTAATAGCTTATATTTTTAATTGATTTCACTTGAGTATATTGTTGCCAATGCATAATGTTGGTGCACCCACTTCCAATAGTTAATACATAGCACAAGTGAAAAGCTTCATTAGTACACATGGAAATTTCTAGTTGATAACATGTGCATACAATGTAGTATGTTGTTAGCAGCTATTATGTTGCTTTACCGGCATCCAACCATTTGGAGCATCACGGATTCCAGGGTATTTTCCCTCTCTTGGACAAGCCTCAAACTCAGGGAGATGACAAATGTCAAAAAATGCTGTCAACTTAGGCAGAATGACAGACTGCCAGAGGTTTGTATCAGCCTGTACCCTCTCACAGTGCAGCTGATATGGCGACTGCATCCTAACAATGTCATCACACCATGGACGCTTCAGAATGGCCATACAGCCCTTGACTTGAAAAAAATGATTGTGGTTTTTCCTTCAACCTGTGTTTCCCACAACAACTGAAATTTTTTTCAGGGGAACAGAAACAACTGACTTTAATGTCAAAATGGTTTCATATCAATAGATTCTGCTGTGTAATAAATTCTAAAAAGTATGGTGAAGAATTTTAGGAAATGTTGTACTTAAATATCAATATATCTATAGTAACAATATATTGTAAATCGTAACAAATACAAAAAGCTAACATTTCAGCAATTAGATCAATGGTATAGTTGTCATTGAAAGTGAACAGCTATACTGAGAGACTGCTTAGTTATTAACGCGGACGTTAATGAAGTTGAGTAGGCAAAAACATGGCTATACAATGTTATAACACATTATCAAAATGCAATATGGTTGTATTCAGAGATGCAAAATTGGAATATGTTGGGTTTAAAAATTAATAAATGACTAGAAATATCTAATTACTACCTCAAGTGATCTGGTACTGGACTGGTAATCTCCTCAAACTTTTCGGGGTTGGTGATCTCCTCGAACTTGTCAGGGATGGTGATCTCCTTGAACTTGTCAGGGATGGTGATCTCCTCGAACTTGTCAGGGATGGTGATCTCCTCGAACTTGTCAGGGCTTATGATCTCCTTGAACTTTTCAGGGATGGTGATCTCCTTGAACTTGTCAGGGATGATCTCCTCGAACTTGTCAGGGCTTATGGTCAGGGCTGGTGATCTCCTTGAATTTGTCGGGGCTGGTGATCTCCTTGAACTTGTCAGAGTTGGTGATCTCCTTGAACTTGTCGGGGCTGGTGACCTCTTTGAACTTGTCGGGGCTGGTGACCTCTTTGAACTTGTCAGGGCTGGTGATGTCCTTGAACTTGTCGGGGCTGGTGATGTCCTTGAACTTGTCGGGGCTGGAGATTTCCTTGAACTTGTCGGGGCTGGTGATCTCCTTGAACTTGTCAGAGTTGGTGATCTCCTTGAACTTGTCGGGGCTGGTGACCTCTTTGAACTTGTCGGGGCTGGTGACCTCTTTGAACTTGTCGGGGCTGGTGACCTCTTTGATCTTGTCAGGGCTGGTGATCTCCTTGAATTTGTTGGGGCTGGTGATCTCTTTGATGGGGCTGGAGTGCGACGTCTCTGTGGCTCCTCTCCAAATATAAACGGCAACTTGGATGGAGATCCTGAAATAAAATAGAGCAACATAAAGAAATGAAACCACGATTCTTCAGGAGAATTGCAGCTTAACCAGGACACAAACTTATATAGAAATCCAAACCATTGTTTACATCATATTCAAACTTTGTGGTTCCATAATGGCAAACCTTTTACAGAACGAAACTAATCCAGTTATCACTTATTTTAATTATTTACATCATTTTATGAATGATTATTTACACATAGTTCTCTTCTTCCAGCAATTCCTCTTGAAAAAAGGAATCCATGCATTGTTTGATGCTACTGCTAACTTTCCTTCATGTCTGTGCATATTCTTGGTCTGAAATTAGAAAACAATTATTTGGTTGTTTAGATCATCAACCAACTTTCATTTATTAAAACAACGCACTGGTGGATCTAGAAGTTAATAAGGTGAGCCCGAATCAGGATCATCAAAAATTAATTCTGAAAGACCTCTGACCCAAACTGCCTCATTTCATCCATCTGGGCCTCCGCTGTTCCATTCATATTTTCTGTGATACCAGTTGACAGACTTGTATCAGATCTAGAAGGTGTTATTCCTTGTTTGTTTCACCACTCTTACTAGCCTGGGCAATGTTTGAAAGGTCTTTTAACGTAACATTCTTGCCGCTTTGTTCCTGAATGTGTTGCTGGAGTAGTTTTTTTTGTTGGCTCCAAGCTTGAAGAGGCCAATAGCTCATCCATCTCTTTTGTTGACAATACCCTCACTTGAGGAAGATGCTTATAGATTGCTGATGGAAGGTTAATATCTAATTGAGCATTCAGTGAAAATTCAAATGGAGGTTAGATCATTAAAGCTGACACTCAGCTTTCCTATGAGACATCCCCGCATAGTTCTATTGTTGGGGGGCACACCACTTCAGCATAAGTTCTAAAATATGTACAGATTACATTAACTGAAATATTTGAAATTTACAACAAGAATCCATTCATTTAGAAAGTTCTTCCAAACAAAAATAAATTAATTATAGAATATTACTTATGTTTCCTCTTTTCCTTGCGCTTTTCCTCGATCTGAATGATAAGAACAACAATTATTTAAATACATAATAAGAATAAGTACAAGTATTAACATGACATAAAAAGTATATTAGATTTTTAAATATCATATATACAACACTTTATTTCTTTTGGTTTTCTGATTTTGAAAGAAAAGGAAGACTTACAATATAATAACATGAATAAGTACAAAATAAGTACAAGTATTAACATGACATAAAAATTAAAAAGTACATAAGATTTTTAAATATCATATATACAATACTTAATTTAGATTTTGAAGGAAAATGAAGACTTACTACATCAATGCAAGAATTACAGATCATAATCTGTCCCTCGCCAAGCACCATGGTGCATATTAGACATGTAGCCATTTTCTGAAAATATCAACAAAGGACCAGGCAAGATTTGGCAAAATATAAATAGAAAACGGCAACTCCATCGAGTAGCAAATCCCAATGAAGCCGTTAACAAATATGAATCTGTATTTGTCACAAAAATATAAACATTTGAAACATTAGAGATATATCAGAATTTCTAACAATTTTAAAAGCATTCAGGTGACCATTTAATAGTTTTAAAAGCACAAATTACAAAGACAATTTGAATTTTCTGAGGCACAAATCAGGCTCTTTACAGTGACATGGCATTTTTACAATGCAGGACACCTGAAATTATTTGTAAAGCTAGGAAATGGGTCAAAAGTGAATTTCGAGAGACAAAAATGGTGGCCATTTTGAAAATGGGTGAGCTTTTGAACCAGGAGTCATCGGGGAGTTTTCAAACCTGGCCAATTGTTGACTAACAGACAGACGAATGGATGGACAGACAGACAGACAGACAGACAGACAGACAAGTGACAAGTTTTCCTTACAATCTCAAATACAATATCTCCCAAAAGATTCATGATATGTTTTAAATTGGTGAAGTTTTAGAAAATCATGTCATTACTATGGTAACTGGGATTGCCCATAGGGTATATGTGTATGAACAAAATCAGGCTCACAGTATTTGAGTAATTGCCTGGACAGACGGACGGACAGACGGACAGACATATGGATAAAGGCGTTCCCTATATCCCTCCAAACTTCGTTCTATGGGATAATAATAAATAATTCAATGTGCCTCTAGTCTAAAATAAATTCTCATGTAAAGCAGATACCCTGTACTTTAAGTAAATTAAATGTAAGTATTTCATAAAGAATTCTTCTTAATAATGATTTGTTCTGATGAACCATTTAAGGCAGATCTATAGGGGTGGCATGTACATGTACATATTTACTGATTTTCAATGCTCTCTCAAATTTTTTTTTTAAATATCCTGTCCATATTTTCTGTCCATTGGAAGATAAGGTGACCCTCTTGTGCTCCTTTACTCTACATTCAAAATCCCGCCCTGTCTCACCAATATAACACTGACTACAATCTCCACATTCAACTTAATATATCACACCTGCCTTTTTCTCATCTTCAACCTTGTCTTTTAAATGGACCAATTTATTCCTTAAAGTCACCGTAGATGAAAAGCATGCTCTGATATTGTGTTTACTTAATATTCTTCGTAACCATTCTCAGAGGCCTTTAACGTATGGTAATACAACCGTGCAAACGGACTCTGGTAGAATAAAAAATATCTGAGAAAGAAAATCAACAACTTTGTCAATGCTTTGTTTCAGTGTTTACGAAATGGTAAAATGGTTTTATGAAATAATCCCCATGGGGCGGCAATTTTATCTTCACTTCCAAATCACTGATAGAGGCTCCCAAAATGGATGCCTTTTTCAGAGATTCTGTTTTTGACTGCAGTAACAGTATTTTACCAATAAAGTGTTTCTTATCTCACAACGGTCAGACCCATACTTTACAGAAACAGGTCTGTTGAGAACCCTTCAAAGATCATTTTGATTTCTTACATAGTGCCCTGCAAATGGCTTTTCTGTTCAACTGATCCCTTCCACTTTGAATTGAAAACCCTGACAATTGCAATCTAGTACATGCAGTATCTATTATTTGAAACATAAAATATGACTTCCTTTTCTGGAAAATTATTATTTAGTATCCGATCTGAAGTTAGCTTATCAGTTTTAGATACCATGTTTCTTATTTCTTATTGCAGTTTGGTAAATCATGTTATTCGTTGTGACACTTGGCCATTATCTAGTTCAACGTTTACTTTGTAACCCATGCAGTCTATCACCTTCCCTCTTCTCTCATTAACAAAATTCCTCTTGGTGTCTACATTTGTGTTATCATAACTGGTGCACCAATCTTCAGTTTAAGGATCTGGAAAGTATGTAATGTAAAGATTTAGAAATGTTCAAGGTACATGATAAGGAAATTCAATTCAAAGTTTATTTAAATTATTGGGTATTATAATAAAACAAATTTGAGCAAATTTGAAACATTTGACATGTTATAAAAAGTATTCATATTAGACAGGTCAATATGACTGTTCATTGTTCAGATTGGGATATTTTCACATTTAAAGGTTTTTTATCATGGGAGGCAATGGGAAGAAAAGTTGGATTGAAAGAAGTGTTCAAATTTGAAGGTATTCCGATTAGCCCAACCAGGTGTCCGGATATACAGCAACATACAGGTCTATGAATTCTTAATTGCAAAACAATGTAAATATTCTGAAGAAAGGTACTGTCTCTGGAAAGCTGCCCCCCATGTTTGAAGTTGAATATCTTTTAGGTATTTTCAATGTACACTGTCGCATTTGTAGCACTTTAGACCATCTCCAAATAGACCATTATGTTG